AGATCATCATAATAATAATAATCATCCATGGAGCGAGATCATAATAATAATAATCCATGGAGCGAGATCATAATAATAATCATCCATGGAGCGAGATCATAATAATAATAATAATCCATGGAGCGAGATCATCATCATCATAATAATAATCCATGGAGCGAGATCATAATAATAATAACAAGAAATTAATCCATGGAGCGAGATCATAATAATAATAATAATCCATAGAGCAAGATCATAATAATAATAATCCATGGAGCGAGATCATAATAATAATCCATGGAGCGAGATCATAATAATAATAATCCATGGAGCGAGATAATAATAATAATAATCCATGGAGCGAGATCATAATAAAAATAATAATCCATGGAGCGAGATAATAATAATAATCCATTGAGCGAGATCATAATAATAATAATCCATGGACCGAGATCATAATAATAATAATAATAATCCATAGAGCGAGATCACAATAATAATAATCCATAGAGCGAGATCATAATAATAATAATCCATGGAGCGAGATCATAATAATAAAAATAATCCATGGAGCGAGATCATAATAATAATAATCCATGGAGCGAGATCATAATAATAATAATCCATAAAGCAAGATCATAATAATCCATGGAGCTAGATCATAATAATAATAACAATAAATTAATCCATGGAGCGAGATCATAATAATAATAATCCATGGAGCGAGATCATAATAATAATAATAATCCATGTAGCGAGATAATAATAATAATAACATGAAATTACTCCATGGAGCAAGATCATAATAATAATAATCCATGGAGCGAGATCATAATAATAATAATAATCCATGGAGCGAGATCATAATAGTAATCATCCATGGAGCGAGATCATAATAATCCATGGAGCTAGATCATAATAATAATAATAACAATAAATTAATCCATGGAGCGAGATCATAATAATAATAATCCATGGAGCGAGATCATAATAATAATAATAATCCATGGAGCGAGATCATAATAGTAATAATCCATTGAGCGAGATCATAATAATAATAATCCATGGAGCGAGATGATAATAATAATAACAAGAAATTAATCCATGCAGCGAGATATTAATAATAATAATCCATGGAGCAAAATAGTAGTAGTAATAATAATAATAATAATAATCCATGGAGCGAGATAGCAATAATAATTCATGGAGCGAGATCATAATAATAATAACAATAAATTAATCCATGGAGCGAGATCATAATAATAATAATCCATGGAGCGAGATCATAATAATAATAATAATAATCCATGTAGCGAGATAATAATAATAATAATAATAATAATCCATGGAGCGAGATCATAATAGTAATAATCCATGGAGCGAGATCATAATAATAATCCATTGAGCGAGATCATAATAATAATCCATGGAGCGAGCTCATAATAATAATCCATGGAGCGAGATCATAATAATAATAATCCATGGAGCGAGATCATAATAATCCATGGAGCGAGATCATAAAAATAATAACAATAAATTAATCCATGGAGCTAGATCATAATAATAATAATCCATGGAGTGAGATCATAATAATAATAATAATCCACGTAGCGAGATAATAATAATAATAATAATAACATGAAATTACTCCATGGAGCGAGATAATAATAATAATAATCATCCATGGAGCGAGATCATAATATAAATAATAATCCATGGAGCGAGATATAATAGTAATAATCCATTGAGCGAGATCATAATAATAATCCATGGAGCGAGATCATAATAATAATCCATGGAGCGAGATCATAATAATAATAATCCATGGAGTGAGATCATAATAATAATAATCCATGGAGCGAGATCATAATAATCCATGGAGCTAGATCATAATAATAATAACAATAAATTAATCCATGGAGCGAGATCATAATAATAATAATCCATGGAGCGAGATCATAATAATCCATGGAGCTAGATCATAATAATAATAACATGAAATTACTCCATGGAGCAAGATCATAATAATAATAATCCATGGAGCGAGATCATAATAATAATCCATGGAGCGAGATCATAATAGTAATCATCCATGGAGCGAGATCATAATAATCCATGGAGCTAGATCATAATAATAATAACAATAAATTAATCCATGGAGCGAGATCATAATAATAATAATCCATGGAGCGAGATCATAATAGTAATAATCCATTGAGCGAGATCATAATAATAATAATCCATGGAGCGAGATGATAATAATAATAACAAGAAATTAATCCATGCAGCGAGATATTAATAATAATAATCCATGGAGCAAGATAGTAGTAGTAATAATAATAATAATCCATGGAGCGAGATAGCAATAATAATTCATGGAGCGAGATCATAATAATAATAACAATAAATTAATCCATGGAGCGAGATCATAATAATAATAATCCATGGAGCGAGATCATAATAATAATAATAATCCATGTAGCGAGATAATAATAATAATAACATGAAATTACTCCATGGAGCGAGATCATAATAATAATAATAATCCATGGAGCGAGATCATAATAATAATCCATGGAGCGAGATCATAATAATAACAAGAAATTAATCCATGGAGCGAGATCATAATAATAATCATCCATGGAGCGAGATCATAATAATAATAATCCATGGAGCGAGATGATGATAATAATAATAATAATAACAAGAAATTAATCCATGCAGCGAGATAATTAAAATCCATGGAGCAAGATAGTAGTAGTAGTAGTAGTAGTAGTAATAATAATAATCCATGGAGCGAGATAGCAATAATAATTAATGGAGCGAGATGGTAATAATAACAAGTATTAGAAAATAGAGAGTGGTAAAGTCTCAATAAGATGAGACTCAGGACTGGTTTTAAACAAAATATAGGAAATGCTTAATACATGTTATGACTAAAAAGTCAGCACTGAGCACTAATAGAGAAAATTGTCCATTAATATATAATTAGTGATGTCCCGAACGGTTCGCCGCGGACTCATCATTGAGTAAACTTTGACCCTGTACCTCACAGTCAGCAGACACATTCCAGCCAATCAGCAGCAGACCCTCCCTCCCAGACCCTCCCACCTCCTGGACAGCTCACTAAGAATGCAGCTCCACAATGAATGTAAAATGGATGCTGTCCAGGAGGTATGAGGGTCTGGGAGGGAGGGTCTGCTGCTGATTGGCTGGAATGTGTCTGCTGACTGTGAGGTACAGCGTCAAAGTTTACTCAATGATGAGTCCGTGGCGAACCGTTTGTGGCGAACCGTTCACAAACTGTTCGGCAAACCGTTCGGGACATCACTATATATAATATATTATATATATTAGTTCCAAAAGGTGCCACAAAAAATAATAGAATTGAAGATACTTTATTATGATTCTGATAAAAGAAAGAGGGCACTA